ATTCCTGCAAAGCTTGATTCTTCAGTTATTTTTGGTGAAGATCTCTTTTGGGAAATATTTTAGAAGTAGTGGTTTTGTTTGCTTAGGTTAAATTTGTGGTAGTATTTGTTGGTACTGGTATTCTATAGCCCTCACAAAACCCAAAGTATTCAAGAGGAATTTTTCCTTGGTCTCTACTTAAGACAATAATGAAAACAGGAATATCAGCTTCAGGTGTGAACACTTTGGAAAATAAAAAACATGTACAATAATGGCCTTTATGGCCTTTATCATAATTTGAACTGTATGGCAATGTTTACTGTACCACCTCATACTAATTATCCATTGTGTGAAAAAATTGCCTATGTGCATTTGCCGGACTTCAGGTTAAACAACTCAATCTCATTTGAGTCAAAGGGAATAGTTTCTAACAACTTTAGGTGTTCAAGCTTTAAACCAGTAAAATTATCGTGAACAAAAAGTACTCAAGGGTTGAATAGTCGTACAAGTGATGCTTTGGCTGATCCTTGGAACTCTTTTCTAATTAGCTCCTGTATCTTTTTCTCAGGCAGCAGAGTGGGTAGAAGGTGTCACTGAAGATGGGCACACTTACTACTATAACACGCAGACAGGAGGTAAGGAGAGCTTGTGTTCCAGTTGAGCTCTGTTTCAGAAGAGAGGGTTTTCAGAGCAGCATTTTATTTTGCAAATAACTGCATTTTGAGGCCATTACTAAGTTTTGTAACTTTTAAGCTGTTACCTTAGTTGAAATACTCTTGTTGCTTAAGCCAGTGCTGGCTTTTTATAGCTGTGTTGTCGGTGTGTATGCCCTTGTGCTTCACAGGCTTTTTTAGACTTTCAACTCACAACTCTAAAATACGGGTTCTTCTTTTCTACGTATACATTGAAATGACAGTTTGGAAACCAGTAAGGCAGGGAATTTTGTTTTGATAGGTATGTAGGACTGAATGTCACTTTTCCCCTACATGGGGAACTCTGCGGTAGCTGCCTCAGAGCAGGCATCTGTTTTCTAAATCTGTTTGAATCATTTTAAGGTCAATGATGCCTCTCTGGAGAGCAAGTGATTTTATGCTGGCTATGAGCTTTCCTTCTGCTGTTGGGTATAAAGTGGCGTGCCTAACGATGCCAAAAATAGAAAAAAACCCAAACCTTTCCGTTTTTCAGCATGCCACTCCCCTGCTCAAATGATTTGCAATTTTTTTCTTTTGAAAGGAAAAAGAGATGCTGGTTATTTTTAAACATTGCCTTCTAAGTTCAGATGCATTTTATGCCTTTGGTTGCATTGTTTTTTAAAGTTCTTCAAGGATGCATGACACACGAGAAGAATGTCTTTGTAATCATCATATTTGGTAAAAGTTTGGCTTCTGAGATTTTTAAAGTGATCCCTTACTTTTAAATAGCTGCAGGTATCTTGGAAATGCTTGAAAATTGCTTGTCAGTTCTGCTAACACTGATCCCATCCTCTGAAGACAAGACAAATTGTTAACCGAGGGGACTGATAGGAGTGTCTCATGTCAGGCATGCAACTGAGGAGGCCGGTGTCTGTAGGCTTAGCTTCTGCTACGAGTCGGGCTTTGGGAGGCTGCACCTTACCCTGCTGGCTGTATGTGACACCTGGGGAGGTGAACTTTCCAGATTACTGGTCTAAAGCTACACGACAGCAGTACCGTTAAGAAACTGTTTTGTTCATCCAGAGCCACTTGTTGCCAGTTTCTTACACCTTTACTTCTTCAAGATACATCTAGAAGCATACCTGTTAAATCATGGAATCATCAAGGTTGGAAAAGACCTCTAAGTTCATCAAGTCTAGCTGTCCACCCAAGGCCACTAGGCCTGCTAAAGCATGTCCTGCAGTGCCACATCTACACGTTTTTTGAACACCTCCAGGGATGGGGACTCCACCACCTCCCTGCCCAGCCTGTTCCAATGCCTGACCGCGCGTTCAGTAAAGAAATTTTTCCTAATATCCGATCTAAAACTCCCCTGACAGCACTTGAGGCCTCTCGTCCTATTGCTAGTTACCTGGGAGAAGAGACCAACACTTGCCTCGCTACAACCTCCTTTCAGGTAGTTGTAGAGAGCAATAAGGTCTCTCCTCAGCCTCCTCTTCTCCAGACAGCCCCAGCTCCCTCAGCTGCTCCTCACAAGACTTGTTCTCCAGACCCCTCACCAGCCTCATTGCCCTTCTCTGGACACGCTCCAGCACCTCAATGTCCTTCTTATAGTGAGGGGCCCAAAACTGAACACAGTACTCCAGGTGCGGCCTCACCTGTGCCGAATACAAGGGCACGATCACCTCCCTACTCCTGCTGGCCACACTGTTCCTGATACAGGCCAGGATGCTGTTGGCCTTCTTGGCCACCTGGGCACACTGCTGGCTCAAGTTCAGCCGGCTGTTGACCAACACCCCAAGGTCCTTCTCCGCTGGGCAGCTTTCCAGCCACTCCTCCCCAAGCTTGTAGCGTTGCATGGGGTTGTTGTGATCGAAGTGCAGGACCCGGCATTTGGCCTTGTTGAAACTCATGCAGTTGGCCTTCACCCATCGATCCAGCCTGTAATGTTGTTTTCAGTTAGGGATTTATTTGAAAATATGTGAAATAGTTGGAAAAATAGTAGTTCTATTACATTTGAAAGCTTATATAAAATTACAGATTGAAAGTTGGCCTTATTGTTACTGAAACCGGTTTTAAGATCATTGAGTCAACTTTTATTTAAATATTTCCTCTCAGTATGTTTTCTGGAATATTACCTTTGCATTGAAAATGAGGTCGTATCCTGCAGATACTTTCATGTCTTTTCAGCATAATGTTTGTATTTCGTTGTTTACTTGACAGCTCTTTAATTAGAGACCTAACGTTACCGAGCCGAGTAGCAGGGGTTTATCTGCCCAGAGAGCTGAAGCTCGCAGTTGGCGTTCTGTACCTCATCCTGTCTTTGTAGTCGATGGACAACTCAAATCAAATAGGGATCTCTAGAGGGCAACTCATCTGTTCTGTGCTGGGATGAGAGGGACCTTGTGGACCGCCGTTCACCATGCATGACATTTTTCTTAAGCACTAATTACAACAACTTTATCAACAGTGAATTCATCTGTCATGACAGTATCTCTGCTGGGAAGTGAAATGTTATCTTTCTGATTGTGTTTACTAAAACAAACATACCAAACAAAGGCAAAAGCCTTGTGCTAAATTATTTGCTGTGTTTTTGCATAAGGCAGCACTGCTTCTGAAAGGTAATGTTGTCAAAGCAGCAACAGATCAGAATTAGAAACATAAATAATGTGGTTATTCAAATATCTTGGACAGTATCCACATGGGAGAAACCGGCTGGTTTTGTTTCAAATAAGAAGCGTCATCGTGACAAGAATTCTGGAGAGCTTGCAGAAACAGGTTCCAAAGCGTCTGAATCGGACTCAGAAGATAGTGAAAATGAAGCACAGAGTTCAGAAACAAATTTCAAGGTAAGTTCTCTCTTCAGATTTATTTTACATACACTAATTATTGTCTAGCATAAGATGATCTGTCTTTCATCTCTTGTGATAGGCTGTACTCAGTGTAATGAGGTTAAACCTGATGACTGAAAGTAGAAGTCTGCACTTTTTTGAGTTGTAAAATGCATCTTTATGCAGTTACTTGGCCCATTAGTGGCACAGTTCTGGAATACAAAACATAATCTTCCCATCAGCCCCCCAGAAGTAGATTGGATTCCTCAAGAAATGTGATGTTCTCTGAGAAAGGTCACTGTCATCTCTCTGAAATAATCCACAAGGTGGTTTGGATTTCAGTGTGGGGGTGACTTCTCACCTGCATTGGTAAACGTGACTGCCAAGAGACTTCAGGGAGTGCCTTCGATTGAAGATGGCATGGTTGTAGTTTACTTATTAATTGAGAGAAGCATTGGCAGCACAGTACAAAACTTGTATCAATCATATTTTTGTCTTTAGATTTAAAACTTAAGCTAAAGGGTGTGATTACGACTCTGGGTCAGATGGTTTTTCTGAAACTGGTAGTTCAGAACAGGCAGAGAGTTTAAATACAAAATTTATCCGTAGACAGGTGTTAATTCTAAAATGTGTATTTTTGTGTCACTGTGCATCATTATGAATTACCATCAGGTACTAGCTGTAAAGTGCGTGTATCTGCATGCACAGAAAGCTGTATGTGAGTTTTTGCCTCTTTTTTTTTTCTTTTTTTTTTTAATGTGGAAACCTTTGTTTTAATTAAGTTTGTGTTGGCTACTCCTTGCTAACTTCAGCCTTGATAGATGGGATTTTCCAACTTCAGATTTTGTAACATTTAAGATTTATTTCAACTCTGTGTGTGTGAAAGCTCGAAAGAAATTTAAAGATTTTATTACAATATGAGTTTATTATTTCAACTTACTCTTGGTTGAAAGGTATGAATAGTAGCTAACAGTAAACAAAAGATGTAAAATAAAGCTACATTGTGTTTTTATTTAGGCATTTTTGCTTAAGGTGGGTTTTTTCCTCTTTAGAGGAAAGGAGATAATGGTGAAAAATCAGAGGGGAAAAAATCTTCCAAAGCTAAAAAGTTAAGTCCTTACGGGAAATGGCGACCAGTGACTTCAGAAGAAACTGTTGATAAAAAGGAGAGTACATCAGCTTCCCAGGAAACCGGCAGTGATGAACCCAGCAAGACCAAACCGTATGGGAAATGGAAAGCGCTTAAGGAAGAAGGAGAAGGAGAGGAAGAAGAAGAAAAAGAAGAAGAACCATGGTGAGGATCTTTTTACCGTAGTTATTTTCATAATATTTGTTTCCAGAATATTTGTTTTCGGAGCTGAAGCTTTTTCTTCTGAATTCTGGCAGAGGTAGCACAGCAGTGATTGGAAACGTAGCCCACATACAGTTCGTTCTGCAGTGATTATTTTAGGTGATGGCTCTCCATGGCACGTAGTGGTGGTGGTTTGGTTTTAGTGTAGAAGTTCACCATGAGTGCAAAGTAAATTAAAGTGATCTGAAGGGTCGTTGTCATCCATCATTTTTCTTGGAGGCTGAGTATCAACTATGTAAATGTAGTTACTCTAAGCTGATGTTCTTTAACACTGTCTCCTTCAACAGCCTGGTCCAGCTGCCTCAGGAGCTCTTGTGACTGTTTTTTCAACTGCTCCCAGCCTTGGAACAGCATAGGCAGCTTTCTCAGGGCCTCTAGCTTCCAGGCTAAATTCTGTTTCTTTCTGACGAGTAATTAGTTGGGCTGTCTATGCCTGGAATTCAGGAGCAGTCTTGATCTTCTAGGGCCAGCAGCAGCCTAATGTTGATCGTACTGGGTTGGTGTTGCTTTGAATTCCTTCCCTGTGGGATCAATAGCTGCTGACACAACGAGTGTGCTTTTTTAGACTCCGAGCAACTTCTACCTAAGCCCGGTATGTTTGGCTGAGTTACTTCCACAAGCAGTGAATTGTTTCTCACTGTGGTGTTGTACGGACTCTTAACTGTTCACTTGAAGGACACAGCCTAGAAGACACTTCTAATTTTTTGTCTTACTTTCACCCAGTGTTGCAGTAAAAGACTTGTGGTTGAACTGGTTTTCTTGTTCCCTCATTTCCCTCATTTCAAAACAGATCTAAGCAAAACCAAAACAAAATCCACTACAACCTTTTCTGCTCTCACTGTAAGTAAGTCCTGGAGGCTCTTGTAATGTGGTGGGAGACATTTTCTGTAATGATCTAAATAAGAAGATGAAAGACAAAACATGTCATCTAGTTCTGCCATTTTTAAATCTGGAAGCTGTCTCTCTCTCCCATGTTCCAGCCGATGTGCTGCAGATCGTGCATCTGACTGGGGGAGAGGGGAGTGTTTTGTTTTACTGCATAATGCCCGAGATGGCACATTTTATTACGACTCTTGCTGTCTTTTATGGCCAGTGTCTTCTTATGGGGCCCTCTGGGAGTCTGGTAAAATGAGGTTTGGGACAATGAAATCGGTCTTTTCCCTCATACTCACCCCACTCTTTGTCATTTTAGTTCTAAATTATTCAGCAGATAGAGTTTTGACACTGTTTAAATTAAGCATTGATACACTTCCTTGAGGATGGTAATGTCACTTGATCAGGTCACATAACATCTCCTGTATTGGACCAGCAAACCGCTGCTTGACTCCAGAGCTGATCCGTTCTTCCAGGTTTTTGCAAAGCACTGTCCAATAAAAAGTGCTTTCAGCTACCAAGCCTTATAGATCAGTCTGTACGCTGACACGCAGGCTTGATGTATACACACATGTAAATGAGACCAGTGCAGTTGTTGATGATTTACTTTAAACTGAGACTAGGCGCAGTGCCAACCACTTTCAGAACGTTTACATTTTAAGGATACTGCAGCAGATGCGTTTTCTTGACTTGCAGTCATTCTCATGGCTCTTTTGTGGGTGCTTGAGCTGATCCATGTCTTCCTGGAAGCACAGGACCTGAAACTAGGTGTAATACACGAGCCAAAAGATTTCTTGTGTGGATTGGCCAGGAATGCAATGTGTATCTCTTTGCAGTAGTGTTACGCTGCTGTGGTTCCTGCGGGGCTTGTGATTTAGATCATTCTCTGCGAACTGTTCAGTTGTTCTCCGTCATGTGTTTGTGCCACGGGTGATTCTTGTAGAACACAGTGTTTTGCTGTTCACCTCCTCAGACCGATTGGTCATTTTTAGATGATGTCTTTGATCTGTTCAGATCAGTATGGGCCGTGATCCTGTCCTCCAGAGCTGCTTCCTCCAGCTTGGGGTCGTTGGCGGATTCGGTGAGACTGTTCTCTGTTCGGGCGTGCAGACTCTCACCGATGGACACCTGCGGAACACTGCTTGTTTTTCACTTCTCATACCAGCCCACACAGAAGAAACAAAGAACGTGTTTGGTTTTTTTTCTTGATCCCTGTCATGATGATGATCATGGCTGGAAGACTGCGTCTAGCTCAAAGCTGCTCTGACAATTAAATATGGATGTTGCTGTCTGCAGGACAGCACGTTGTTTTCTCTGTGTAGATTTCACCCTTTTATGTTTTCCTCTCTTCTCCCAGTGAAAAAGTGGACCTGGAGCTTCCTGGTACAGAGAGTGAGAATCCACCACCTCCAGTGCTGGAGGTTCCAGAAGACGATGTGACAGTGATATTTAAAGAGAAGACAGTCACCTCCCTCGGAGACCTGACAGAAGGGGTGCCAACGTTTAAAAAGAGGAAATTTGAAAACGGAAAATCTAGAAACTTAAGACAAAGACTAAGTGATCAGTAATACTTAACAAGTCATTTTAGATTCTGTTTCAGCTAGAGTGAATCAAAAGTTTAATATTTTAAACAGGCTTTTATAAAGAAAATATTGAATAGAAATTAAGGATTTATAGGTATTAAAACATGTCAGTTGTAATATTTTTTTATTTTATTTTGATGTGATTGATTTTGGAATGGAAGTTTGTGTTATATTACTTATGCAATATTGTAAATAGATTTATTTTTTATTTTAACCATGCCATCTAAGTTCCATATGCTCTGTGTATGCTGTTTTAAATACATTGTGTAAGGTTTTTTACTCCTTTTCTAAGTATGGGAGAATGTAGTAATCCTTAATCTGGCAAAAATGATGCAGACCTTTTATTTTTACAGAGGAACTGGATCTATGGCACGTCCTGGAGAGTAAAAATCATCCCCCAAGATTGTTACGGTGGAGTAGTTTCCCACCTAATGAGTAGAAATATTGTGCTTACTAACCTTTGGCTAATCGCTTCCAAAAGAGTAGGTGGTGAGAGTGCCAGCATTTCAAACAGATCATCTGAAAGCTGTTTTTAGAGGAGTTAGTCACATCGATGCCAGTCATTGCAAATGACATTCTGAAAGAAATTATTTGTGTACATGCATGATAAATGTATTAAACCTCTGCAGAAAATACAAACCTGTTGAATCTTAACTTTTAATAACAGCACCAGAGCCGCCCCCGTTGAAGTAGATATTTCTGTGGTGCCTTCCTGTTGTGTTTTGCTGTATTATTGTCTCTGCGTGAATTTTTCTTTCTTTTTACACATCAAGTTTTCCTTTTTTTTTGGTGGTGTTTTCTTTTTGCCTCTTTCTCTGTAAAAAAATAATTGCCTGATATTTTAATGAAAAAATATTCCAAAGACCTGGCCCTGCTGCAGCATCCAGCACCCTTCTGGGGCTGATGGGCTCTGTCTGTCGGTAAGAGGACTGCGTTGAGTAGTTGCAGTGTGCACTAAGGGCTAAGTGTGTTGAAGCTACATCGGTCTCAGGACCATAGGAGAGGAAGACAAAAGATGGATAAGTAGAGCTGGTGGCTGTACTGTCCACGATGGCTTGGACATTTTCTTAAGGACTGTAGACTTGGTTTCTTCGTTTAGTGGGATTGGTCTGCATTTGGCATCATCGAGATCCATGGGCTGCGTAAGAATATAGCTACGCTTACTGCCTCTCTAGGTATCAAACAGTGCACTGGTAAGGTTCAAGGCATGCATCCATTACAAAAATATGTCTCTGTTCCTAAAGCTCACAGTGTTTTGTTCAGGAGAGTTGCAGTCAAGAACAGAGGGTGCAGTTCAGACAGTTGCCAGAGTCCAGCTACAGCAAAATAGAGCTGGTAACTGCTGAGCTTGAACTTCACTGAGAAAGCAACTGTTAATCTGTCAGATCAGCGGAGAAAGGAGCACAAGGCAGCGAATCTGGTTTATCATGTAGTACAAGGAAGCTGAAGGCCTTTTTTTTCTATTCTGTGATGTTTTATCTGTGCATAGAAGAGAAATAAGTATTGTATTTAATCCCATGTGTTTGGCTTCTTCAGGGTTGTTGTGTTTCTTCTGATGTTTGTTTTAAGAAATCTGGAAGTTTCCTGTAATACCTAGCTCTGTATGCAGGATGCGTGCTGGATGCTCTCAGTGTCATAGATGCAGGAGTGTACAACGTGGACTCCACGTGAGAGACCTCACACGCAAGGCTACAACAGAACTGTCCGTTCTGCCAAGGAGAGGTGGCCAGGATTCCTGAAAATCAGATTTTTCAGGCTTTGTTCTTATTTGCCCATTACTCCAACAGCTAGGAGCTTGCTCTAACTTCCAGCCTCCATGCATGCATGACCAGTTTGCACTCGCTTCCTCCCGACTCGCTCAAGTATCACCCTTCCGCTGAGTAGCTTTGCTTCCTCTCGGACCCATCGCGTCTTTTCTCTCCTGAATCACATAAAGCGTCCTCGTGTGACGGGGCCTTCAGTGCTCCACCAGCACTTCTCCTCATCCTTTCCAGCCGCAGTTTGCCTGGGCTTTATGTTCGGGCACGCTGAAGGCCGCGCGGGATGTCGCCAACACTTCCTCAGTGTGTTGGCAGGAGCTCTTGATACGGCCCTGAGCCACGCTTGCCTTTCCAGTGACTGCATCGTGCCGTCTGCCGCGGGGGCTCTCTGATTTACCACTGCGACTCGCTCTTGCTGCTCCTTTGCCGTTGCCAACTGCTGAGTTAACAGTTGATCATGCTTTCCTTTCAAGCACCTTTTTTTTCTTCCCCGTAACAAATTTGTTTTGTACTGCTGTACTTCCCCTGCTTCTGCTACTCCAAGCTTAAAGTATATCCAATTCTTTACGATTTCTGTAAAATGATGTTATTAGTACAGTTTTATAGGGTAGTGTAGTGTTTTTATAGGCTCCACTTTTAGTATCCTCTATGGAGGACATCTTTCCTCTTCTAGTGAGTGCATCTTTCCTTAAAAAATGTTGTGTCACTTTGAAGTGGTCGTAGGCAGTGATTTAAGATACCTGTACATTGCTCGAGCAGATGTTTGAAAACATCTGAAAATAAGTGTTCCAGAGTTGTTTCCTTGCGGAGCTGCTCCTAGTTGTGATACGAACCAACGGTCTTTGTCAAGTACCGTGTTTAACAGACAAACCAAACAAAGTATTTACGTTAGGAAAGAAGATTAAATGTTTTCTGTGTTCGCTGGTAAAGTTCATTTAAATACCATACGCTTGCTTTTGCTGATGTGACTTCTAAAGCCTGCATTTCACCAAGCAGCAGAGCGCTTCGCTCTCCACCTCCTCTGAAAGTCAGTCTGAGCAGAGACCAGTTTGTTCTGTGTCCTGAAGTGTGAATTATAATAATGGCCAGTGAATCAACTTGATATATCCAAAGCCACTGTTTTAATTTTGCACCATGCTGTCGTTCGATTTCCTCATTGTGTGTCTCAACCAAATATTTTCTGTACAAAAGTAGTGTCTTGTGTGAGATGAGGCAGATGCTGCCTTTCCAGGACATCTGTTCTGCACAGATCTCCCTTCCTTCTGTGCTATCTCCCTGCAAAACCTTCTGCCTTTGGAATTTGCCGTAGGAATCCTCTGGGTGAGACCACAGTTATGCTCCTCATCTGCCAGTCCTACCTTGGGCTGTGCTGGCTTTTGGCAAACGAATGTTCCTTTTACTGTTCCAGAAGAACAGTGGTTTCAGAAGAAGAGCGTGTTTGTGTCCCGACTAACCCATTTTCTATCATGCAGCGTGTTTTTAGCTGCTCGCCTGCTTTTATCACACGCCCCTTGCGCGAGGGCTGCATGCTTGGGTTTATGGGCTGTCGCAGAGCTTATCAGCAAGATGAGAGAAAGGCGGAGTCATCGCAATTTCTGATGATGGTTTCTTTTGCGTGGTTTTGAGCAAGTCAGTTAATTGCTCTGTATTTTTGTTTCCTTGCCTCGTCTTTCAGCTGTCTTGTCTGTTTAGAAGGAGCTTCACAGTATAGGATGCATGTTTTTGGTGTGTGTGTTTTTGCAGTAGGGTCTGCCGGAACTTGGTGATGCTTTTAGAAGCAAACATAATGCATATAGTAAAAAAGAAAATTATTTTGTTGGGTTCTGTTACGCCAGAAGCTGAGCAGAGACCACCTGCTCAGTTTGACACAGGTTATAGAATAATCGTTGGTCCTATTTAGACTCAGCCAAATTTTAACCCTTCACCTGAGAATTTGTAGGTCAAAATCCAGACTTTCCCAAAAGGGTTAGGTTTGCTTTTTGTTTGATGCTCACAGACAAAATCTGTGCTGCAGCATCATCCCATCCCAATGCTCAGATTTAGAAGATGGGAGGGCTGGTCAGGACGTGGATCCGAGTCAAATTCACTAACCTGTGCATGTATTAAAACATTTCTCCTATTTCCCAGCACCCTTGAAAAAGATGTTACTTCAGTGCATATTTTGACACCTCAGAAACGGAGTAAAAACCTGTCTCATGCTGGTTGTTTTCCTTGATTTGCTATTCGAGTTGCACCTCCCCTTTTTAGCACTTCCCTTATTACAGGTGTCTTCCTCCAGCATCCCGATATATGCAAACCCACGTATCGCCCCTGTGCCGCATTTCTGCCGCCCACCTGCACCTCACCCCTGCTCTGCGGGAGCCCTCCAAGAGCTGCACGTTGTCCTGCGCAGGCCACCGCGTCTCCAGAGCCTGGCTTAGGCTGAGCGCTGCCACCGCCGCCGCCTGTTCGCGTCGCGCCCTGCAGAGGTACCGCCTTACCCGTTCTCAGACAGGACGCGCGCTGCGTCAAGACCGACTGCCCGCGCTCGTTTGATTCCCCTGATGGTTCGTCTTCCTGGGACAGGTGTCATTCCGTTCCTCCTGCGGGGTTTGCAGCCCTCAGACCCTTCCGCTTGCTGGTACAGAGGCTGTGCGCGTACCTTCTGCTGCCTGCTGCAGCAGCCCTTTGGTTCTGTTCCGTCAGCCGTACCTCCTCTTGCATCCACCTCTCGCGCCCTCCTGCCTTCTACCTGCTACATTGTTTAACTGCGGAGTCGTGGTAGCCATTTGTGTGATTGATTGACAGATCTAGCTTTGTGAAATGTTCCGGGATACAGCTTGAATAAAAGTTTCTGTACAAAGCAAAAAGCGTTGCAAATAATAATCTGAAAAGGGCTACGTTTGCCCAAGAGGATTCCCGGAGAATGTCAGCAAACGCAGGTTTCGTTCTACCTGTAACACCAGGAGCAGCCCCCGCTGGAAACCAGCAGACAGCGTTACACGGACCATGGGCTGAAGACAGTGGATTTCAACTGCGTAACTAAAGAGACCGTGAAGAACAGCGGGGTGACTGGAAGGGGCTTGGTTTCGTTCGTAAGGGTTGTCTGCAAAGTTAAACAGCTGGTTTCTCATTAACAGTGTCGCAGTTGCAATTACAAAACATGGCAGACTCTTGAAGTGGAGTTTGTACGAGAAAACCAAATAAAGCTTTCTTTTGAACAATGTAATTACTGTTGTTCATCTG